AAGTCAGGTCCCCACCTATGTCTACACGGTATCCCAGACAGTCAGGTCCCCACCTCTGTCTACACGGTATCCCCGACAGTCAGGTCCCTACCACTATCTCCCCGGTATCCCCGACAGTCGGGTCCCTACCACTCTCTACACGGTATCCCGACAGTCAGTTCCCTACCACTGTCTACATGGTATCCCCGACAAGTCAGGTCCCCACCTATGTCTACACGGTATCCCAGACAGTCAGGTCCCCACTACTGTCTACACGGTCTCCCTGACAGTCAGATCCCCACCACTGTCTACAAGGCACCCCGACAGTCAGGTCCCCACCATTGTCTTCACGGTATCTCGACAGTCAGGCCCCCACCTCTGTCTACATGGTATCCCTGACAGTCAGGTCCCCACCACTATCTACATGGTATCCCCGACAGTCAGGTCCGTACCACTATCTACACGGTATCCCCGACAGTCGGGTCCCTACCACTGTCTACATGGTATCCCCGACAAGTCAGGTCCCCACCTATGTCTACACGGTATCCCAGACAGTCAGGTCCCCACCACTGTCTACACTGTATCCCCGACAGTCAGGTCCCCACCACTGTCGACTCGGCATCCCCGACAGTCAGGTCCCCACCACTGTCTACACGGTCTCCCTGACAGTCAGATCCCCACCACTGTCTACGAGGTACCCCGACAGTCAGGTCCCCACCATTGTCTTCACGGTATCTCGACAGTCAGGCCCCCACCTCTGTCTACATGGTATCCCTGACAGTCAGGTCCCCACCCCTATCTACATGGTATCCCCGACAGTCAGGTCCCTACCACTGTCTACATGGTATCCCCGACAGTCGGGTCCCTACCACTCTCTACACGGTATCCCGACAGTCAGGTCCCCACCACTGTCTACACGGTCTCCCCGACAGTCAGGTCCCCACCACTGTCTACACGGTCTCCCTGACAGTCAGATCCCCACCACTGTCTACAAGGTACCCCGACAGTCAGGTCCCCACCATTGTCTTCACGGTATCTCGACAGTCAGGTCCCCACCACTGTCTACATGGTATCCCTGACAGTCAGGTCCCCCCCTCTGTCTACAGGGTCTCCCCGGCAGTCAGGTCCCTACCACTATCTACAGGGTATCCCTGACAGTCCGGTCCCTACCACTGTCTACACTGGATCCCTGACAGTCAGGTCCCCACCACTCTCTACACGGTATCCCGACAGTCAGGGCCCTACCACTGTCTACACGGTATCTCTGATAGTCGGGTCCCCACCACTGTCTACAAGGTATCCCCGACAGTCAGGTCCCTACCACTATCTACACGGTATCCCCGACAGTCGGGTCCCTACCACTCTCTACACGGTATCCCGACAGTCAGGTCCCTACCACTGTCTACATGGTATCCCCGACAGTCAGGCCCCTCCCTCTTCCTACACGGTATCCGCGACAGTCGGGTCCCTACCCCTCTCTACACGGTATCCCGACAATCAGGGCCCTACCACTGTCTACATGGCATCCCCGACAGTCAGGTCCCCCCCACTGTCTACACGGTATCCCCGACAGTCGGGTCCCCACCACTGTCTACACGGTATCCCTGACAGTCAAGTCCCCACCACTGTCTACACGGTATCTCTGACAGTCGGGTCCCCACCACTGTCTACACGGTATCCCCGACAGTCGGGTCCCCACCACTGTCTACACAGTATCTCCACTATGTTTGATTTTTAATGATTGATCACTCTAACTTATTCCAGATTTTTGTTCTCTTTTTTACAACCTTTTTTCATTAAAATCACAAAGTGTGAAATTATTAATATAATTCTACTTCCTCAGATTTCACATGATTGAAATGATGGGTAATTATGCAAATTGTTAATGAAGTGATTAACTGACATGGATTACTACATGACGGTGTATTAAAGACGTTGTCTTCAGTATTGGGTGCGGTATCAATATGGGTACACTGACGTCACAAACAAACATAATGATGCCATTTGTTTACCATGTAAACAACATCACAACATGGCCACCATTCATTTTGGAATACACATTCCCATCATGCTTTGAAGATTTTGAAATTGTCTACTGTTAGCTCCTGACTCAGGACGACGACATTAAACACGGTAATTCTTCACTACAATGTCCTTCACTAAACACAGTAAAATATAATGCCCCTTGTTTAATTTGGCACGTTGCTAATCACAAATATTGTTTTCAAGGTAAGATTTTCCATTTCTTTACACTGTATGTGTTTTCCTCCATAATATAACCAAAAATGTTAACAATGACATGTTTATGCCCCGCCATAAAATGTGTCCCGTCGCTTCCAGTACCGTCAAACATCAAACACTGAAACTGATTTCACATGGTGATGGGGGGCATTCATGTCTTACAGACATTTTCTAGTTTTATTATAGAATGGTGGCAGTATAACAATGTTTCCTCTTTAAACACTGTACCTGAGTTCACTTATACCATTTTTTATATATATAAATGTACAATATACAAACATTTATGTAAACATTAATAATTGTTCATTTCACATGAAATTGACACAAATCAAAGATCTTTAAATCCCATCTGCAAGAATTTATAACACACCAATACACTGAACTGTTATCTGGTTATCTAATGGCATTGTGAGACCACAATTGAACCCTATGACATTGTGAGGCCACAATTAAACTCTATGACATTGTAAGGCCTCAATAAAACCCTATGACATTGTGATGCCACAGTTAAAAGGTCATGTTACATTATGACAAAAACATATGGACATTGACATATACATAGTTAAAATTATTGTTATTATGTTGTTAAATCACATTTGTATAAGTCCTTTGATATACCAGATATTATATAAGTCATAATCTTGTCTAAATGATTTTACATCAATAGTCAATCACCCATGAACAAACTTATTTTGTTCTAAATTGACACTAGAAGATCACTAAAAAGAAGGCACTTCCCAAAAGAATACTGATGGAAATTGTGAGAGTTTTCCAGAATTTTTTGGTTTGTATTTACGAAATTGTACATCACAACTCCAACAGAAACTGTTCAGAAAATATACAGAAACCATACCAAAATTTGTTACGACCCTAACTATCTAATCCACTCAGCAGACAATGAAAAAAACAGATTCTGGATGTTATACATTGTAATAGTTAAGTACACAGACAGTGTATTGTATTGGAATACACCTGACGGCATGTGTTCCCTAAGGTAACTCCATTTGAAGTTTCCACTTAAACATAAAAAGTAAGCATTTATTAATGGCACTTACAATAAACATATACAGTCAATAAACAAAACTACAATCTGAGAAGTTTGGGCAAGAAGAGCTAAGTTTAAATGATTTATTGTCTATAAACATATGTTCCTATAGGGAACGCAATACTAATTGTGTTGTGTTGACGTCATGGTAACAGTGTTATGAAATCATCAATATCAACGTCATAGTTACTCATCCTGTGTGTCAAGATGGATGTGACAGAGGTCTGGTGACATTTAATCCCTGACGAAGGGCTAAGCCCGAAAGCTTGGAAAAAGAGTGACTTCTTAGTTTGCTAAATGATTTAATTATATCATACTAGTACTAAAAATATGATCTTATTTACTAATGCCATTTTTTCATTTAAAAGTTTACTTGACTTAAAAGCCGAAAGAAATCACCCTCATTTTATTTAAGTCCTAAAAGAAGAGAACAATTTGTCCAGTTAATCTTGTGAAAAGTTATATCAACTTTAACACTTATGTAAAAACTCCAAATCTGACAGGGAGGTGACTACACCACTGACAGGGAAGTGACTACACCACTGACAGGGAAGTGACTACACCACTGACAGGGAGGCGACTACACCACTGACAGGGAAGTGACTACACCACTGAAAGGGAAGTGACTACACCACTGACAGGGAGGTGACTACACCACTGACAGGGAAGTGACTACACCACTGAAAGGGAGGTAACTCCAATGCTGACAGGGAGGTAACTCCAATGCTGACAGGGAGGTAACTACACCACTGACAGGGAGGTGACTACACCACTGACAGGGAGATGACTACACCACTGACAGGGAGGTGACTACACCACTGACAGAGAGGTGACTACACCACTGACAGAGGTGACTACACCACTGACAGAGAGGTGACTACACCACTGACAGAGAGGTGACTACACCACTGACAGGGAGGTGACTACACCACTGACAGAGAGGTGACAACACCACTGACAGGGAATAACTACACCACTGACAGAGAGGTGACTACACCACTGACAGGGAGGTAGCTCCAATGCTGACAGGGAGGTAGCTCCAATGCTGACAGGGAGGTAGCTCCAATGCTGACAGGGAGGTGACTACACCACTTACAGAGAGGTGACTACACCACTGACAGGGAGGGGACTACACCACTGACAGAGAGGTGACAACCCCCCTGACAGGGAATAACTACACCACTGACAGAGAGGTGACTACACCGCTGACAGGGAGGTGACTACACCACTGACAGAAAGGTGACTACACCACTGACAGGGAGGTGACCAAACCACTGACAGGGAGGTGACTACACCACTGACAAGGAGGTAACTACACCACTGACAGGGAGGGAACTCCAATGCTGACAGGGAGGTGACTACACCACTTACAGAGAGGTGACTACACCACTGACAGGGAGGTGCCTACACCACTGACAGGGAGGCAACTACACCACTGACAGGGAGGTGCCTACACCACTGACAGGGAGGCAACTACACCACTGACAGAGAGGTGACTACACCCCTGACAGGGAGGTGACTACACCACTGACAGGGGGGTGACTACACCACTGACAGGGAGGTAACTCCAATGCTGACAGGGAGGGGACTACACCACTGACAGGGAGGTGACTACGCCACTGACAGAGAGGTGACTACACCACTGACAGTGAAGTGACTACACCACTGACAGGAAGGTAACTACACCACTGACAGGGAGGTGACTCCACCCCTGAAAGGGAGGTGACTACACCACTGACAGGGAGATGACTACACCACTGACAGGGAGGTGACTACGCCACTGACAGGGAGGTGACTACCCCACTGACAGGGAGGTAACTACACCACTGACAGGGAGGTAACTCCAATGCTGACAGGGAGGGGACTACACCACTGACAGGGAGGTGACTACGCCACTGACAGAGAGGTGACTACACCACTGACAGGAAGGTAACTACACCACTGACAGAGAGGTGAATACACCACTGACAGGGAGGTGACTACACCACTGACGGGGAGATGACTACACCACTGACAGGGAGGTGAATACACCACTGACAGAGAGGTGACTACACCTCTGACAGGGAGGTGACTACACCACTGACAGGGGGGTGACTACACCACTGACAGGGAGGTAACTACACCGCTGACAGGGAGGTGACTACACCACTGACAGGGGGGTGACTACACCACTGACAGGGAGGTAACTCCAATGCTGACAGGGAGGAGACTACACCACTGACAGAGAGGTGACTACGCCACTGACAGGGAGGTGACTACCCCACTGACAGGGAGGCGACTACACCACTGACAGGGAAGTGACTACACCACTGAAAGGGAAGTGACTACACCACTGACAGGGAGGCGACTACACCACTGACAGAGAGGTGACTACACCACTGACAGGGAGGGGACTACACCACTGACAGAGAGGTGACTACGCCACTGACAGGGAGGTGACTACACCACTGACAAGGAGGTAACTACACCACTGACAGGGAGGTGACTCCACCACTGACAGAGAGGTGACTACACCACTGACAGAGAGGTGACTACACCACTGACAGGGAGGTAACTCCAATGCTGACAGGGAGGTAGCTCCAATGCTGACAGGGAGGTAGCTCCAATGCTGACAGGGAGGTGACTAACACACCCCTATTCCTTGTATAGAAAATTAAACAGTACGTAATATTAACATATTATCAACTCTCCCTTTACAGTTAAAATGTCCTCAAACTTTAACACTCCGGTCTATTCAGTTTTTACTGAACTCATTCACTGTTATAAGATAACTGTATTTTATCAAAACCTATTTCTGATTTTGGTAATTGAGAATGTTCTCAAAGTAAAGACCTTTGTGATACCACAGTATTAGCTCATATTATACAATACCACAGCCAGATGATACAGTATTAGCTCATATAATACAATATCAAACCATTAGTTGTAGCATCCATGAGCTCGTAAATACAATAAACATTTCATATTTACATTCAGGTTTTCTGACAAAATTATTTTGTTGGTATCTTTGTTCATCTATGTACAGGTTAATATCAATAGATTAATGCAATTAAAATATAACATCATACACTGTGAAAATTCAACAAAAGATTATAACATAAATATTCCCTAAATCTAGTGAACAGGATCTGTGACTTAAATATGAACATGTAGGTTATCAGAAATAATTGACAGTGTTAAAGTTTCTTATGAGGTTTAGACATTCTCTGGTTTTATATGTAAACAACAACATTTTCTGTAAGATGACCTTAGAGGTCAGTGATCTGCTACTGGTGACAGGGATACAGGCTGTACGGTATCTATGGATACAGGTGACAGGGGTACAGGCTGTACAGTATCTATTGATACAGGTGACAGGGATACAGGCTGTATGGTACATATGGATACTGGTGACAGGGATACAGGCTGTACAGTATCTATGGATACAGGTGACAGGGATACAGGCTGTACAGTATCTATGGATACAGGTGACAGGGATACAGGCGGTATGGTATCTATGGATACTGGTGACAGGGATACAGGCTGTACAGTATCTATTGATACAGGTGACAGGGATACAGGCTGTATGGTATATATGGATACTGCAGGTGCCAGAGATACAGGCTGTACAGTATCTATTGATACAGGTGACAGGGATACAGGCTGTATAGTTTCTAAGGATACCAGAATCAACAGCTATAGATTACATTACACTTTAACACTCTGAGAAACCTGTACATATCTAAACACTGTGGGTATCAAATTTCACAAATTTGAATTTTGATTTTTTATGCAATGTTTTAATTTTGTGAATTACCAATGGAGTGAAAAATTGATGTTTCATCTATATATTTCACATTATAATGCTTCAGGTAAAATTCAATAATGTCCAATTATCTCTAAATCAATTAATAAAAACTACAAATACAGCAGACTCCTCATAATGTCATGTGTCTTAATATCATGTAACAGTTAATATCACAATCCCATGTTGCTGAAGAGGTGTATTTAACTATTTTTGCAATGTCATGAGAAATTTGGTGTATATATAGCACAAGTAACTTCTATATATATTGACAGGCTTTCAAACTTTATACAAAAAGTTCTTCAATTCCACAGAAAATATGTGTTCCTGTTAATGTCATGCTTCACATTATATCACACTTTGTACTGACACATGACATCATGAAGAATTTGCTGTACCCAATCTTCATAGTTCACGATGGTAATGGAATGCTATCACTCGTGTTGTTATTGTTTTTCAGCTGTGATAATTTCTCTGCTTCATCAGGATTCAACTTCTCTCCTTCAGATATTTGAAATGACTTCTCCGCTGGACTGTGAAATGACTTCTCCCCTGGACTGTGAAATGACTTCTCCCCTGGACTGTGAAATGACTTCTCCCCTGGACTGTGAAATGACTTCTCCCCTGGACTTTGAAATGATTTCTCAGCAGGGCTGTGAAACTGTTTCTCCCCCAGACTAAGAAATGGTTTCTCCCCAGTACTATGAAATGACTTCTCCCCAGGGCTGCGAAATGGTTTTTCTGGTGATGTCACCTTTAGACCCCCCTGAGGGGCTCCAACAGGAAACTTCTGTAGTGGAGTCATCTCCCCTGAGAGGAACTTTTCAACCTTGTCAACACATGCGTCCTGGTAGTCATGGACCCACCTTAAATGAAGAAAATACAACACATGAATAAATATTTACTTTTTATTTTTAATTTGAACACAAAATAAAATAAAAGGATAACATATTCATTTTTCATTTTTTTTTACATGATAAAACAGGAGTACCACAGGATGGAATAAACAAGAGGCCCAATGGACCTGCATCGTTCACATGGTATTAATCCCACACTTGTAACCTTAGTGGACTAAAATAAAGCTACAGGCAAAATATCAGTGTTTTAACTCAAAGTCATTAGAAAGAATCTGTTGAAAGATTTAAACACTTTTGACCCCTGTGACCTTGAAAGTGAAACAAGGGCATTATGTTGAACAAACTTTATATCCCTTCATTCAAGAATGCTTCTAGTCAAATATCATCACCCTGGACCTTTTGGTTATTCAGAATGAGACGTTTAAAGATTTCAACATATTGGATCCCTGTGTCCTTGAATATGGGTGAAGGTCATTCATTTGAACAAAATTGGTAGCCCTTCATCTCAGCTTGCTTCTGGCCATATATCATCACCCTGGACATTTAGGTTATTCAGAAAAGTGGTTTAAAGGTTTTCAACATATATGATCCTTGTAAGCTTGAATATAAGTCAAGGTCATTCACTTGAACAAACTTAGAACTCCTTTATTCCAGCATGTTACTGGCAAACTATAATCTGGGCATTTTGGCAATTCAGAATAAGTCAATGAAAGGTTTTAAACCTATTTGACCCATGTGACCTTCAATATTGTCTTTCATTTGAACAAATTTATAAGCCCAACATCCAAGGATGTTACCGACCAAATATCATCACCCTGGACTTTTAAGTGTATTCCGAAGAAGTTGTTTGAAAGTTTTTATAGATAATTGACCTCTGTGACCTTGAATTTAAGTCAAGGTCATTCATTTAAACAAACTTGGTAGCCCTTCATCCCAGGACGATATAGCCCAATATCAATACCCTAGGCCACTAGTTTAGCAAGAAGAAGTAATTTAAAAGTTTTAAACATATTTGAACCCTGTGTCTTAAATATAAGTCAAGGTCTTTCATTTGAACAAAACTTGATAGCCCATCATCCCAGAATGTTACTGGCCAAATATCATCACTCTGGGCCTTTTGGTTATTCAGAAGAAGTTGTTTGAAAGTTTTTTTCCCCAGATAATTTGACCCCTGTGACATTGAATATAAGGTCATTTATTTGAACAAACTTGGTGGCCCTTCATACCAGCATGTTATTGGCCAAATATCATCATCCTAGGCCTTTTGGTTATTCAGGAAAAGCTGTTTAAAGATTTTAACATATTTGATGCCTGTAACCTTGAAAATTAGCCAAGGCCACTCATTTGAACAAATTTGGTAGCCCATCATCCCAGCATGCTACTGGCCAAATAGCATCACCCTAGGCCTCTTGGTTATTCAGAAGAAGTAATTCAAAGTGAAAAGTTGATGCCGACCGGCCGGCCGGATGCCGCACCATTAGCTCAGTTTCAGGCCAGGTGAGCTAAATATACCCATCCCATGCCAATCTGACCTTCTTAAAATCCTTCTGATGCATTACTGTAAATAAACGTTTAAAAACATGGAAATGAAAGGAGAAGAAACAACATTTGTACTCTATTTCTCAATGTACTGTATTTCTCTATATTTCTCTATGTACTGTATTTCTCTATATTTCTCTATGTACTGTATTTCTCTATGTATTGTATTTCTCTATATTTCTCTATGTACTGTATTTCTCTATATTTCTCTATGTACTGTATTTCTCTATATTTCTCTATGTACTGTATTTCTCTATGTATTGTATTTCTCTATATTTCTCTATGTACTGTATTTCTCTATATTTCTCTATGTACTGTATTTCTCTATATTTCTCTATGTACTGTATTTCTCTATATTTCTCTATGTACTGTATTTCTCTATGTATTATTTCTCTATATTTCTCTATGTACTGTATTTCTCTATATTTCTCTATGTACTGTATTTCTCTATGTACTGTATTTCTCTACTGTATTTCTCTATGTACTGTATTTCTCTATGTACTGTATTTCTCTACTGTATTTCTCTATGTACTGTATTTCTCTATGTACTGTATTTCTCCACTGTATTTCTCTATGTACTGTATTTCTCTATGTACTGAATTTCTCTATATTTCTCTATGTACTGTATTTCTCTATGTACTGTATACTGTATTTCTCTATGTACTGTATTTCTCTATGTATTGTATTTCTCTATTTCTCTATGTACTGTATTTCTCTATGTATTGTATTTCTCTATGTAATGTATTTCTCTATATTTCTCTATGTACTGTATTTCTCTATGTACTGTATTTCTCTATATTTCTCTATGTACTGTATTTCTCTATGTATTGTATTTCTCTATTTCTCTATGTACTGTATTTCTCTATCAAGTTGAGAGCTATTCCTGGAATATGGTGTATGGAGAAAACATACTGTAATGTTAGTGCAGGCAAATTCGCCATGCACCCAAATTCGCCACCCTGTGACGAAAATGCGATATGACGCTAATTACAGTTTTATGTTTGACTGAGCCGTCAATGCAAGTAAATTGTTTTTCTGCAAGTGTACTTTGGTACATACCATGTATACTGACGACCCAATGCTTATGGAAATGACACTCGGAAAGATTTGATAATTCATTTTTCATTTTCATGCAATATGTACTTAGAAAACAATCAACCAGTATATTTCAAAAATGTTGTTTGCTTCTAACATTCAGCCATCTTACAACACTTTAATTAAAATACCATCTAGAAATTTGCTAGATACATATTTGATAAGAATTTGTTGTCAGCCTGAAGGTACAAGTACGTGTGACGCTGTACAATCGCTGATGAATACGTCAGGAGACTGACAGTTACCAAAGACTGATTTTCACATGAAAAAGTAAGTTCATTTACAACACCTGGGGCAGTCTCTGTTCAATAAGTTTTCAAGCCCAAAAAATTGTTTGAATTTGTCAGAAATGTTTCCCGTTGACGTACAAGACGATCGGAGATGCTACATGTATGTGACAAATTATCCAAAAGTCTGTCATCTGCCCCCGATGAAAAAAAAAATTTCACCACTGATTTGGAAGTTTATATTTGTTATGGACTGAGCCTTAATTGCGATGCATATAAATTGACATCATCTCAGCCGGTCCCGGCCATCTTACTCAAACAGCATTAATCAGTTTCTTCAAGTAACTGAAAATTAACTATCACAATTAAGAAAAGCCATTTATTTCAATGTTAATCATTGTTACACACACACATTTGGAGCTGTTCGTATCAGTGCGACTTGTGTAACATAAATATACAACACGTTACATTTAAACACTTACAGTACATGTACTTGAAAATAAGTGAATTGTTTGAATGTGGCGAAACTGCCTGCACCTTTGAGCAAAACCAAGGAAGGTGTGGTGACATCACATGTGTTGCTGCGTGACGTCATTCAGGCGTGTTTACAACAATGTTTATTTATAGGCATTTCAGTCAAAACTTCTTCTGTACTGGTGCTCATTGGCATTTTGATACATGTGTATTTGGACAAATTATTAACTGAAACCCTCACTAATGTGACTTATGTTACTTGACCCACTAAACTTTGGGCAGAATGGACTAAATTTTGTAACAATAGAGGGTGTGCCCTCCCCCTAGCAAGGCCCATGGTTCAGTACAATTGGAGGTATTTTAACCAAACACGAGAGCATGGTCCCTTTAGGGGAAACAAAGTAACACAAGTTTGAAAACCTGTTCCTTCATTACCATTGGAGGGCTATGAGGCAAAGGCGACTCAATTTTGTATAAACAGAAAGTGCAACCCCTTGGGGCAGTGGGGTGGGGCCCCAAGGGGGGAATATAATTATAAGTGTTCATAACCCTTCTCCCTCAGTATGATTGGAGGGATTTGAGCAAATGGGACTCAATTTTGTACAAATGGAAGGTGTTACTGCCCCCTCCCCCCTTCCTGGGGGCAGAAATGCAGGGCTCAATAGGAGAAATTGAGGTAAATCTTTAAAAAAAATCTCCACAGTTTAAGCTATATAAACTTAAATATTTTACAACAACTATGAATTAATTTGTTACAACTTAATATTAACCACTCTTGTAGCCAGGATGTTAGTGGATGGGGTCTTAATTTTGGAGGAAACCGGAGTACCCGGAGAAACCCACTTGGTTGAGCAGGTGACCCACTACCTTTTCATGTCTGATGTAAGCAACATTGTCTTGGCTTCACCATATCCAAACTAGGAATCAGACAAGGAGTTTGTGTTGACATCTATCCATCAGATTTGTTTTTATAAAAAAACAAACTATCCACACTGTATTAGCTGATCATAAAGATTTATTGACAAAGGTTTCTGAATGCTGGACAAATTATTATGCAGTTTCCTCAGTCATTAAAGTTTTCCTAATTTGTATAAGTTGTAAATGGGACTAGTTTTTGCGGTATACATAGATAATTATAATAGAAAAAGATCTTTTGAACAGGAGGTTACAAAATACATGCATGATGTACATTTTGATAACAGCACAATGTCTGATGGCATATTAATTTTAATATCTTAATCTTGATGACATTAGATTTCATGGTTTGTTCACATTAAAATTTGACTTCTGTTAATGTCACAGATGACATGTTGATGACATCACAATGATGCTGATACTGACAACATCACATTGTAAACAAAAATCATATCACAATAACAAGTTTGTAAACATAACAAATATTTGATTAAGTAACAATAAAATTTGATTAGAAACGTCAACACAATAATGAAATATTGGAAGTATAAACATAACAAGAGGCCCATGGGCCTTTACGGTCACCTGATATATTTATACAGAGAGTTGATTTTGTTTTTAACATGAACAGAAATATTATTCAAAGTGACAAAAAACAATAAAACCACCTTATTCAATATCTAGCATACAGATTTCAGACTAAAAAGTATTTGAAACTAGCACCTCTGATTCTAAACAAGGAAAATGAAGAAATTTTAG